ATGTGCGATGTTGCCATTTATTATTGTCAATAAAAAGTTGATGAAAATTTGTCAATTCAAAATATAAAAAGTATAAATTGTATAAAAAAATATGTACCTACCTACAAAATTATATAGAAATAATTATAATTTGGTACTTGTCACAAATATTTGATTGTATTTTTATGAATCAAATATTCGTTATATTCGTCGATTGTAAGTAGTGTGATCTAAACGTTGTTTGTCAGCTAAGGCCACCTGATTGAAACGTCCTTTAGATGCTGATCATATTTTTGTGCAAGTATATTCTTGTGTTTCCTTCAGAACTTAAGCATATGTTACTAAACCGACGACAGGACTTTACCGTCTGGTTTTTCACATGTAGAGTTATATGATTGTTGTAAACTGACAGAGCCGTTTTGTACGTAGGTAACCTTATGGAAATCTGGCAACATTGCACTAAAATCTTGGGTACAAAACGTACTGAATCGTGAGCCTTAAAATGTTCAAAATTCTGTAGGTACTCTGATAAGGACCGTACGGAATCGTTTTCTACCAAATTTTTCGTAAAATTTGATGTTGGTATTTAATGAGAATATTAAAATTATGATATCAAGTAGGTAGATATAATACCCAACTGTTTATATATTTTCTCTACTTGATGAGTTATGACAGTTTAATGTACTTATAATTAATACTAATTTACAAAGGTTGACAGTTAATGTAAATAAGTAACTTGAATCAATATAACAACATACGTGCTAATTAGTAATAAGTTAATAAACATTAAATTCCACTCTTAATGTTTAGGTACAGTTGAAATGTGGAAAAATACTAGTGACATAGTTAAGAGCCTGGTTTAAAATGAATAGTTTTAAATATAATATAAATGTACTATTATAGATATAGTCTAATTTAATAATACAGATTTACAAGCACACGCACATTGATACCAATGAATTATAATTTATTTTTTTAATATGCATACCATAAGAACATTAGGTATCTATGGTTGAACGTCGACGATTTTTCCGAGATTTTAATTTTCAAGCAAGATATGAGTATGTAAAATATCACAAATTATAAATTCCCATATCTCGTTTGAAAATTAAAATATCAAATAAAAGCGGACCCTAAAGCATAGATAATATTGTTACCTAAGAGTTTTATAATAGGTCAATTCACTATTTCACTCTAATATCAAAACAAACATATCATTATGGAAACTAGTGAACGAAAATTTACTATGTCGTATGCATGTAAGACAGAGACAACAAACGCATGGATAGTGTCTTCTTAGTATATAATAATATAAAATTTATTAAGACGGAGACAACAAAATACAAATGCACGTGTAGCAGTATTCATATTAAAGAATTTAATATTATGTTATGTTATTTTTTACTGATTTAATATACTGTGCTGAAAAAATATTATTTTACTATATTATCTAATCCTATGAAACTATTTATGAGCTGACAGAACATAATATTCACTATTATTTGAGTAATTTAATTTCATGTTGATAAATTGAACTCTTATTTCTGGCAAAGTGCAATGGCCTTAGAGATGAAACAACTATAAAAACCAACTTAAAAAAAATGTAGACTTATCTTAAAATTCGTTGTTGGAAATAAAAAGAATATTAAAATAATTGATAATGATGGCATAATGTAATGAAAATAATAATTTTAACAACTAATTGTATGGTAATAAAAAAAAGACCGTTATAATAACGAAGATGGAGAACAACGAAAATGACGACCTTGACTAGCAAATAACCGCATAATAACTATAACATCGCCGATAAACGTTATACAAATGTAATATAATATTTAAAATAATTATACAAGCCAACTACTCCATTGCACACGTACAATATAATATAAGGATAAAAATCAAAAATATAAGTTACACCTAATATTATATATGTAGCATTTAACGATTTTATTAAGTTTTTTTTGAAATTTCAAAATTTATATATTACTTTAAGGCAAGACTTGTGGTATATATCTATTTTTGTCATCGGATTGATTTAAAATTTTACAGGCAATTTATGAACTATCATAAAATTTTAAAGAACATTATTGAAACTAGTAAACATTTACTATGTCGTACTAGTGAAGACGGAGACAACAAATGCACGTGTAGCGTCTTCTATTAAAGAATTCAATGCTATATGTTATGCTATTTTTATTGATTTAATACTTAGCTGTAGGTACTGTAAAAATACTATTTTACTATATCCAGGGTTGGGCATCAAAGATACAATAAATTGTATCTTGTACCTATCTTGTATCGTGATACATAATTGTATATAACGCATTAAGAAACGATATTATAAAATAAAACCAAAACTGCGAACAATTGGAGACTGGTATTAAATTCAAAACCAAAACCGCAAAAAATTGGATACCGGTATTGTAATTTAAAACCGTAACTGAAAGTATAATTTAAATAACAGTATTTTTTTTTGAAAATAGTTGGTATCTTGAACATTTTGGGAAGTTTACTTCCACGATCCCGTGATTCAAATAAATTTAATTTAACTAATTAATAATAACTATGAATGAACTCTAATATCCCAGGACTTGAAACCGATTTTAGAAATCGGTTAAACCGTTTAAAAATTGAAACCAAAACCGAAAAAATTAAAAACACTAAAAACTCAAATAAATAAAATAATTGTAGTAATTATTTTTGTGTGTCTATTATTAATATTGTAGTGTATCTAATTTGATTGTGATTTTACGAAAAATTGTCCAGGCGCAATTGAGCCGAAATTAACAATAATGAAGAATTGTAGAAATTACCAAACAATGCTAAAACTTGTAAGATAGTTTAAAAAAAATTAAATTAAATTACCAGATATCTATAATAATTACCTATCTATAATATCTATCTACAGTCAAACATTGATAAACACTAACTTGAAATTTTCGTTCTCATAAAATACGAAACCGCTACCTGCCTATATCTTTTCACGTAATATAAAAAATTTAATTAAAAGTAATAAGTACAGATAAGTAATTACAGTGCACTATTCGCATTGTCGTAAATTTTTTTTCGTAGTGCCTTCTGTGTGACTGTGTCCCTGTCAACTGTCGGTAAAACAATTATACAATTTAATTGTTAATAAAATTAATTTTGAAATACAAAAGTATCATATATTTTGTATCTTTTCTACATTCCCAATGCATCTTGTATCTAGAACCTAGATACACCAACAGCTTGTATCACGTATCACGTAGGTATCATGTATCATGATACTTTTTTTGTGTACCTACCTACCTATCTTGCCCAACCCTGACTATATCGAATCTAATGAAACTACCTATTTTATGAGCTGACAGAACATATAATATTCACTATTATTTGAATAATTTAATTTCTTATTGATAAATTAAACTCTTATTTCTGGCCAAGTTTAATCGCCTTTCAGAAGAAACAACTATTTAAAAAAATAAATATGTACACTAATCTTACAATTTGTTGTTGGAAATAAAAAGAATATTAATATAATAATCGATAATGATGGTATAAATGTATAATATAATAATAATATCTATTATTAATTTTAACAACTAATTTTATGGTAATAAAAAAAAATGACTTCTAATAACGAAGACGATGGACAACGAAAATTACGACCTTGACGTGCAACTAACCGCATAATAAATAATAATAACTACTGGCCCGATAACATCGACGATAAGCGTTATACAAACGTAAAATAATATTTAAAATAATTCTATAAGCCAACTAATCCATTATAAACGTACAATATCATAATATGAGAATACAAATCAAAAATATAATATGTTATATGTCACACTTGTTTCAATATTATAAGTCGTAGCATTTACCAATTGTATCAAGTTTTCTTTGAAAACATAAAATTCATATTATATTATCTGTTTTTGTTGTCAGATTGATTTAACATTTTACAGGGGATTTTAATTTATGAGATTTTAAAGAAATAAAAAAAAAAATGTTTCCCAATAATTAAGAACTATCATAATTATTGTGTTGTAGGTTACCTATTTAATAATTACGAAACCTACTACCTACCTAGTGCAAAACAATTAAACTGTACCGTCTTTACCTAAGGTTAAATAGTACCTACCTAGACAGTGGCATAATCAGGAATTTTCTGTGGGGGAGGGGAAGATTATACATTTTTAGTCAAGTAGAATATTCTGGTTTTTGCATAGATCACCGCATTACCTTTTCCGTGATTGATTGCAGAGATTGGATCTAGGATTTTTTCAATTTTTAATGGACATTCTGTATATACATATTAATATATACATGTAGTATTGTGTACATAATTTGGTCTCCTCAATACATAATATATGGATATGACCCCAGTATCGCCCCTGTAGATATGCCACTGATGGTTATCACTTATCATTGATTGTATACAATAAAAAATAAATAAAAAGAGACTTATTTTGTTGTTAGCTTGTGACACTAGAGACTAAACACATTGATATATTCTATGGCCTCATTTATAGTTTATGAGTAAACTGATTT